CTGCTCGCAGCCTCAACTATCTGACATGCTCTTCTTCTGATGCCTGTGCATCTTAGGGCCTCAGTTCGTGTACCATCTCTGCCCCTCATCCCGAAACCTCACCAAACCATAAAATAATCAGTAACTTCTCTGTCTACATTATTAGACCAACCTTACGATAGGCGAGACTTGAATCCAGGTGATCTAACATAACATTGCAGCCCTCCCTAGTATCACACGCCAGAGCGTTGCCATCCACCACTTCCCAGCTCTGAAACATGGGACAATTCCTTAATCTTTTAGGGTCTTAGTTTTCTCATCCCTAAAATGAGGGTAGTTATAAAGCCTCTGCATGGGGCCATTGTGAGAACTAAATTAGTTAATCCATACAGAACACTTACAACACGGTCTGGCACAAAAAAAAGTGCTCAATATTAGTTGTTATTACTGTTGTGAGGAAAACAGATGTCCGAAACAGAACCTAATTTGATTTTGGCAAATAGGATTTCCACAAATGGAGAAGCTAAAACAGCAGGGAAGAAAAGATACAAAATGTTCTAAATCTGTCCTATTTCCATGGCTTTCATACATGAAAAAAATGGGAGAAAGGGCAACGTAACTGCGGAAGTGTCGTGCATCCCATAGAAACCAAGAAGGCTACAGGGAAGAACTTTTAAGACAACTATCAACTGTCAACACATTCCACAGCTGAAAACTAAGAAGGTCAAAATTGTAGTTCCCTTGGCTTAGCTTTAGAAGCTGTAATTTTTATTTTCCTAATTAAAAAAAAAGCCTTTTGAACATCCGCTCCCTATGTAAATTCAGAGCTCGGGCCATGGTAAACCACAGAGGCAGAAATATTTATCTTCTCCAGGCGGGTTTGGCAGGCTTTCCTCGAGGGATTTGAACGACGGCTATGTTCATCTTCTCGTTCACTGTCAACAAGAAAGCATCCCCAAACCGCGAAAGACGGTGGTCATAAAAGGATGAATTGGAAGCTGAGATGTGTTGCGGTTTTGTTTGGAAGTCAAGGGAACACACAGAGTCAGAAGCGGTGGGAGGAAACTATCAACTTGACACTATGCAGTCAGAACAGGCCAGAAACAGCCAGCAGCGTGAGCGATAAAGGAAAAGTGCGCAGAGACCACAGAGGGAGAGCAGGCAGAAGGTGGGGAAGAGGCAGCCACTTGGGCTGGGGAACAGGTGCTGTGGGCTCCGTGTTCCATGCTGGGGAGCAAAGAGTGGTGCCCCACAGGGGGAAGGGGCATATGAGCTTTGCCCAGTGAAAAAGGAGAGGAAGAAACCACCGGCAAAGTCAGGTGGGGCTGACAGAAAATGCAGGTTTGGGATGAATATGGGGCCTGAACCCACTGTAGCTTACATGATATCGCCCTTTTCCCATCCAATAACATGAACAGTATTTTCAGACCTTGCAAGGGACCCTAGGGACTATCTGATCCAGGGGTTCCCGAAGTTGGATGCACCCCCAAAGTCACCTGGGTGCTTGCTAAAAATGCTGGTGACAAATTCATAGAGACAGAAAGTACAATAGAGTCTGCCCGGGGCTGACGGGATGGATGGGGGCCTCGGGAGTTAGTGTTTAATGGGCACAGAGTTTATGTTGGGGATGATGAAAAAACTCTGGAGATGCATGGTGGTGATGGTTACACAACAATGTCAGTGTACTCAATGCCACTGAACTGTACACTTAAAAGTGGCTAAAATGGTAAATTTTATGTTATCTCTATTTTACCACCATAAAAAAATACCTAGAAGAGCCAAAAGAAAAATAATGCTGGTGACTGGGCTCCATTCTTAAGAGTGTCTGACTTGGTGGGGCCCAGAAATCTGTTTTTTAAATAGTACCCCAGTTGATCCTAAAGGAAATCATTTGAGAACCATACTTTAAAAAATGGTATCACGGTTATCAAAGAAAAAAACACCTTTCTCTTTTAGAGATACATACTGAAATATTTATGAATGAAACGACGTGCTGTCTGGTTTTGCTTCTGTAATGACCCAGTGGGGTGGGGCAGTGTTGGTGGTACAGATGAAACAGGAGTGGCCGAGGTGATAATTGTCTCTGTTGGATGATAGACACATGGAAGTTCATTATACTGTTCTCTCCTCTTTTATATAGGCTTGAAATTTTCTATAATAAAAAAAGCTTTTTAAAAAGACTTAACCAGGTGAGGACCATTCCCAACAGAGAGGAGAGCAGGACTAAAGAGATGGAGGCGAGTAGCAGCTTGCTGTGATCAAGGCACAACCAAGGATTTGGTGGGGCTGGAGCATTCCATTTAAGGTAAAGCAACGAGGTCATCAGAGATGAGGCTGGGAGTCAGGAAGCCTAACACCATGCTAAGTTTTATTGGCCTTGTGAACAAGTGTAAATCTTTGGGTGTTGGGGAAACATTGGGATATTCATTGGGAAGAAAGAATCAGATTTGTGCCTTAGTTAGACTACTCTGGGGAGCTGTGCAGAGGGTGGAGTTGGGGAGATCGAGTGAGGAGCAAATTAGAAGGCTGTTGTAGGTGTCCTGGTAAGCGATCTCAGGACCTGGACAAGGATAATAGTAGGCATGGAGAGAAGGAACTAGAACCAAGAAAGATATAAGCAGATATAATTGGCATAACTCAGTAGTTAATCATAAAAAAGGAAAGAATGAGAAAGGGGCAAAAATGATTCCCTGCTTCCAGTTTGTATAACTGGACAGCAATCCCATTAACCAAGAGAGCACATTGCTAACGAGGATTAGCAATTGTTATCTAATTGTGTTTTGAGAACAAAAGATCCTGGTAGGATGCATCAGTCTAGACTGAGAACTCGATGACCTTCCTTGTGGGACAGCTATACACTCCCATGCAGGTATCTCCAATCCCTTTCTTTCTACAGGCTCCTTCCCTTACAGAATCACAGGAGATCAGAGATGGGAGAAGGTTCCAGTAGCGTTTAGCCAAACATCCTCCTTCTACAGTTGGGAGGTCTATAGAGGTCAGCTGACTTGTCTAAAATCCTTATTATCTTTTTGATATGTTTAAGGCTGTCCTAACTTGAAATAAAGAACAAGAGAAATCAAACACATACATATCTCCACTCTTTTCCATCAACTTGACTACCAATCTTCACTCCTTCTTTAGTACTCAAAGATCCAGTGCCCCATTTCCTTCTAATTCGGAATTCATTTCTTAAGTCTCTGCAAGGTTCATTTCTCTACCCTTTGAATAATACTTCTCTAAAATTAACTGAAAAAGACTTTCTTGTCAAACAAAACAGCCTTTTCTCAGTCCTCAGTTTTCCCTTGGATTTCTATGAGATTTGAATACTATTCGCTGCACCCACCCCTCCCCTTAGAACCTTTCCTTGCTTGGTCTGTATAACAATGAGCTTTCCTTGGGTCTACTCGTTCCTCTGCTCACTACTTCTACTCCTTCATCATCCACTTCTTCAGATTCCCCTTCTTCCTCTAGATCGCCAAGCTTCTGTCATGAGCCCAATGCTCTTCTCTCTTCAATCAGTTACTCTGGGGTCCTTCACCTCACAGAGTCCACAGTTTCTTCTGGGTTCATATCCAGTCCTGACAGCAGTCCACATGGAAAAGTTCTGTGCTTGTCCTAAGTGTACTGTGCCAGTTCTCTTGGCCTGCATCCCTGGAGACATGGTGCCTTCTCAAAGAGAAGTAATCCACTTTCCCCTGGGGTTCCCTGCTGAGCTGGACCACAGTTCTTAACAGTGGGATAGTGACAAATGAGAGAGTGTTCTGCAAAGAGCAATGAGGTTGGTAAGGAATCTAAAAATAACAACACATGAAAACCCCTGAAAAGGCTGAGAATGATGACTTGGGAGAGACAATGCTCTTAGAATCCAGCTTTCCTCAAATTTGTGAAAACTTATCACACAGGATGGGGCATAGATGTGGTTTTTTCTGTCTCAGAAAGCAGAAATTTGAAGGAAGTATATTTTGGCTCAATAGGAGAAAATCCCTGCAAATAACTCAGGTTGTTCAACACAAGAATGAGCTGTCTCTCAATGCAGTGAACTCTGCCTGTTGCTGAAGGTGTTGAAGAAGAAATGCCTCCTCAGAGAGGAAGATTGGCCACACCACCTCGGAGAGCCCCTTTCCTCTCACACACTGTGAATGGCTCTCTTGTTAGAGAGCCTGTCAGCACCACAGACTTTACATGTCTGACGCGGGATCAGCTGTCTTGCCCAATTACTTGAGTCTATCATTGGTGCTGTTGCTCTTCTAGACTGCAGGATCAGAAATCTCAGGGCATCTTTGATTCTTTGCTCTCTCTTAGATCCCTATACCTCTGCCTCCAGAGTGTTTCTTTGATTTGCTCAATTCTTAATTTCCAGTGATACCATTACAATCCAGACTTGCCAAGCCACATGTGGATAGAAGTCACTGGATTTTTGAGTTGGAATGGATGCTGGAGAGATCAAGCCCAGTCTGCTCATTTTATAGGTAGGGAGAATGAGACCGGAAAAATTAGACTCGTCCAAGGTCACATAGTTAAAAGTGGTGGTTCTAGGCTCCAAGATTCGTAGTGCCATATTCTTTCCATCGCCCCACACCACAACAGCTCTGGAATTTCACCTTATAATCACTCAGGCCACCCTGATACATTTCAACTTAATTGGCTTAATAGAGATTAGCCATGAGTTAACCATGGGATGATTCATTTATTTGTATGACACTGTGATGGCCCTTGGTCAAATCATCTGTGTGAATCTAGATCTGGGAATTATCTCCCATCTCTTAATTGTAATAGGCCACTGGGTCTGCTTTGAGTTAAATAAGACTGTTCTTTTCTGTGCTTCTCACAGATACTGCCAAAGTAGGGCTGCTGAATTGTGAAATAAAGAAGAATTCTAGCCAGCTCGAGCTCTCTAGAGTCTGCAAATCCAGGTCATTTGGATTTGAGATGTATCATTGGACTCCAGTGAGTACAAAAATGACATATATCATGTTAACTGGCTATGCCCTGATTTCTTCCATAAAAGAGACCGGACTCACGTTGGTTCTTCTGTTGCTATTCTGGTCTCTTCTAGTTCTTGTGCTTGTTTCAGCCAAGGTAATTTAGCTTCCACTGGACTTTTTTCTAAGAAAAAAAAGGCATATAAACAACATGCTTAATCATTGTTAATCACTGAGGATTTGGACGCATGATTGTTAATTTGCTGAAGATTTCATTAATAAAGAGGTCAGGCTTTCAAAGGCAAGCTGAGTCCTCTAGCACGGTACATTAACTAGCTTCTGGACTGAACCAAAAATTTCCGTCATGTATTTTTTTTTTATGTAAGAGGTAACCAAACAATCCCATGGCACAGGTGAGTACATTCTCCAAGTTAACATAAAAATGCCTTTTGTAAATCAGTGTCAATCTCTGTTGTTTGCATATTAAAGCTTTTACTTCAATCATGTCAGCTTGCTTTCTTTTGCCGTAAATTCTTTTGGACCACTGAATGAAGAAATTAACAGAGAAAAGCAAATAACGTAAGGGCTTAGAAAATTGGGAGGAGAAGAGTCTGTGCTATGGTTTACTCAAACTTTTATTGTTTATTGTTATTATTATTGATGTGGTTGTTGAGGGAGATGATTAACAGTTACAACTGGCATGCAGGAGCAAGCTGGTGCCCCTTTCTGTCCTCTGAAGCCTTCTAAGACATGAAGAACAAAATTATAATTATGAAATGAGAAAGGAAATAATTTTGGACTACTTCATAGAAATCACAGACAGTAAGAAAGTGGCTAATGACAATACTGTCAAGTGCAGAAGGAAGGAGGAAAGACTTCACTGATGAAGTTATATAATCAGTATTTGTACCTTGCATGGCAACAAGTGATTTTTCTGCAAGATAGATACAGTCAAATAAATATTTGTTTAATGGTTAATTATGAGACTATTTGTATGGATAATGAACCCAGAAATAATGAAAGAGAATTTTACCATCTTCTTTAAAGTACTAAGGAAGACTCTTTGGCACTAACAGTTGGGAATAATCCTTTTTCCATTTCCAGGAAGGAAATACTTGTCATAAGAGTTGGTAATCCCTTACTAAAATATATGGAAATAATCATGTACAGAGAGGAACATATATCCGAGAGATGATGCCAAGACTTCCTACCCATGGATGCTATCCATTTCTGCTAATTCACGTGGAACGAATGGGAACCACAAGAGATATTCTAAATGCATCTCTAGATCTAGATTGGGAACTGAAAGACCTCATTCATTCCATGGTAGGCAATAGGACACATAATGAAGAAGACATCACTCTTCCCTCAAGAAACCTACACCCCAATGGAAGGCATGTACAAAACACTGTGGGCAAAAAGAAGAATGAGAACCTTGGAGGAATTTTTCTGGTCATCTTTCTCTTCATCCTTCTCCTTTTCTTTCCTCTCCTTCTTCTTTCTCCCCTCATCCTCCTTCTCCTTTTTCTTCAAGGCAGAGACTACATCAAATTCTTTTATGTCCACCAAGAAATGTTAGTATAAGCCTAGATAGATAAGAGGCCCTCCAATTGTACTCAACCAACACGAGTTTAGTTTTCTCTCCAGATCACTTAATCACACAGGTCCAACTTCTTCATCTAGCTGGACAAGTCTATTGTAATCTGCCAGTAAAATAATTTTGTAAGAAAGTTAGTAAGTTGAAATATAAATGCTGCAATATTGGAAAGAGAGCTGGAAAACACGGCTTGATTGACCTTTAAAATGCACCACAAACTTACCTTTTGGTTTATAACACGGGATGGGAATGATACACTCTTCTTTGATGTGTAACTTGAGTTGAGGATTGCAGCCGCCAACGTGCTGACCACGGTGGTTGATACACAGAACAACCCGGTAACGTAAGCCTCGGCCACAAGTCACTGTGCACTTTAGAGAAAAGAGAAGCCAGTGAAGTTCTTGCTCATGAAGAGAGCACAAAGGTCTTAATGCCTCCTGCAAAGAAGAGCCACAGATGTACGTGAATCTCAAACCTAAGAGACCATTAGATAAATATTATGTAAGGAAGGGAGGGGAGGCTGATTTTCTGTGATTCTCATGCTTCAGGTCCCTTCCCTTGCAAGGCCTCCGTCCAACACTGAATTGGAAAAGTATTCAGATGAGGTCACAGCGCAAGACAAATGGAAATGCCTGAAATCTTTCTGCTCAAATATGAAAGAAACTTGATATGGGTTTTCTCAAATTTGATTAAAAAGTTACAGGACGTTATCTAAAACAAATTGTGAAGGTGAAAGAAACTTTTCTAAACTATCGGTGAAAAAAAGTCAAATTTTGATCAACGATGCTAAAGGACTCTCTTTCTATTTTGTCTATAGAAACGGATTTTGCAAAACTGTTGTAATTTTAAGAGGCCATCAAACAGTATTGAGCCAAAAAGTTTAGGAAAAAATACGAAAGACATCTCAGGCAGTTAAAATTAATAAAAACAGGGGCCAGCTCTGTGGCTGAGTGATTAAGTTTGCGCGCTCCCCTTCGGCAGCCCAGGGTTCACAGGTTCGGATCCCAGGTGTGGACCTAGCACTGCTCATCAGGCCATGCTGAGGCGGCGTCCCACATAGAAGAACTAGAATGACTTGCAACTAGGATATGCAACTATGTACTGGGGCTTTGAGGAGGAGAAAAAAAAAAAAAAGAGGAAGACTGGCAACAGATGTTCACTCAAGGCCAATATTCCTCACCAATAAAAAAGGGAGGGGGGCTCTGGAGCCAAAAAAAATTAATAAAAACATTATGCATTTTTTTCTGAATTCTTATGAAGTTTGTGGTGTCCGTAGTTTTTCTTGATTTATTTATGGTTTGGAAAGTACTCTTGCCTATGAATGGACATTTTCATGCTATGAAAATTTAGGATATCTTTTCAATTTATCCACATACGTTGGTGAGTATATGTGTGTGTGTGTACGTGTTCTTTTTAAATCAAGACTTTACATGTTAGGAGCATTTTAGGTTTACAGACAAATTGAGTAGATGGTACAGAGAGTTCCCATGTGCCCCCTCTCCCCTGCACACAGTTTTCTCTAATAGTAATACCTTGAATTAATGTGGTACAGTTGTTACAATTGATGAACCAACACTGATCATTATTATTAAAGTCTAGAGTTCATATTAGAGTTGTCAGCTATTAAAATTTTTTGCAATTTCTTTTCTCATTCTAAATAAACACTCACTTAGATGTCCAATATTTGTGGTTTGTATTCTTTCTTCCTAAAGAGTCAGCTCCAAACTGTACAAACTTCAGGGCCGTCCCCCCTGGATCCACCCCTGGGAGGCGCTGAGAGTCCTTGGGCACCTGCTACAGAACAGGCACCGACCCCCAGAGGTCATCTCACTAATCGTCCTGGCATACTTGCAAGTTCATAGCTTCATTCCCATTTAACAGAGGAGCAGACAAACAGCCCACCACGTAAGGCCCTTGCTCAAGCTCACACGGTTCCTTGGAGGCAGAGTGGACCTCCATCCCAGACCCTCCTGTTGCCAAAACCATGAAAAACTTCGCCACTGGTTCGTAAAGCTTGAAGATTCTTTCCTGAGCCTGTGGATGCTTTCTGAATGGTCACCGACAAGTCTCAGAGGACATGGAGGCCTTCTTCAGCACACACACATCTCCAGGAAGAGTGGGATATCAGGAAACCCCCTCATTTCATTGTGCCACTCACGTGACCACTGAACAAGCACTGTCATGAACCGAGGTTTGAGACTAGATCCTACGTCTAGGAAACTGTCTCACCTACCCCCACATTTATGAATTTGAAATATATATGATCCTGAGAGGCTGTTTTATATTGGACAAGAAAGAAAAAAAAATTCTGCCCCAAGAGATAGAAAACAACATGCTTATAAGGTATAAATATCCTAGAAATGGTCACTCAAAGGAGTTTTGTCTCTTCAGTAGCCCCTTTGGGAAGCTGGACCCTTACCCCAATGATGCTGTCAGTTTTTCCCTTTCCAGAACTCCTCTTTCGAGTTGAATGTATCCTTAATGATAGCAAATTTGCATCACTGAGAATGCATTTGATTTTTTTTAAAATGAAAAGTATGAAGAGCCAAGAAAGGTGAATGAGATGAGTTGGTTAATAATCCTTTGTTTTGACATTATAAGCGAACATAAAGTCACGACATTGATGGATACGGGGTGGTGGTATAAGAGATCTAAAGCCGACATAAAACATATGGATAAGATTTATAAGAGCTGAAAACAAGCTCTGCAGGTTGTAGGAGAAATGTTGATTTTTGATGAAAGGTCACAATGTGATTTTTGACACACAGCTCCGGAGTTCAAAGCACGGGATGACTTTGCTATAATAAAATCTTTCCATCTCAGTCTACTTATTTATGTGAACAAGCTTCCCCAGAGTGTACATGCAAAACAAAACAAATCAAGAAATCAATAGTAAAAACTGAGAATAAAATTATTGCAGAACCCATGTCTCACTCTGGCAATGGACTATTTTTCTAAGCCCCACTCATCTTCTAGAAAGACAGATTTCAAATGAAAATTTACTTTTTACATGTAATAATTATTCACCAAAACTTGAAATATATTGTTCTGTGTACTAAAATTAAATTTAATAATAACTTAATCCAGGGAAACATTTCTAATACTTAGAGCATTATGGCTACCGGCTATTAATATAAATTAGTTTCAATTGCTAAACATATTTTCTTGGATGAAAGTAGAATAGTGTAACCAATAAAATACTTTAAAGCATAAAAGTACATTATATTAGGATAAATTTCTGTTAGGGGAGAGGATTAAAAATGTGAGTCCAAGGGAAAAAGAATGCAAAATATCCAAATTGGTCAAGAAGAGCTAGTTCATGTGTTTTTTTTAAAGGAAAGATGGCGAGGATAGAAATCATCACGCCATTTACATTCTCCCAGACACATTTTTTAAAATGCTGTAACACTTTTATTTTAAAATGTCAGCATTCACAACATGTTGGAAATGACATTCTTTGATATTTTTTATTTAAATTTGTGATAAAAAATTCTGGATGTCAACCTAAATATATGTGACATGTAACCCAACTGCAAACTTCTTTTAGAGGGTATGTGAACAAAAGAGCATCTGTAACCAGTGCCCTAACAAGTACAAATGAAGTTGTGGAGGATAATGATGTTGGGCCGTGGATGCAAGAAAAAGGACCATGGTGGAGGCGGTGCCTGGAAACTGGGGCTGGAAGTGGGTCTTCGGCAAACTCATGATCATTCTTCAGGTGCCCGTTCTAGTGCTCTCTCTTTTTTGAAGCCCTCTCTGGTCCCTCAGGTGGAGCAAATCCTGCTGCTCTGTGCACCTGTACTACAAACGCGCGACACCGCTCACCACAGGATCCCACGTGTCACAACTGTTATTTGCATGCACGTTTCCGTAACTGGATTCTGAGCTTTTGGGGGATAGGAGCGAGTTTTACTTACTTCCTGAGATGGCAGCTGGCACACTGAATAAATCAATAGATGAACGCATGTATATGTGGAATTAAATACGTAGAGATCACTCAAAAGAGCTAGAGAAACTCGAGTCAATTATGTCTCACTGGCTAGAAAATGGAAAGATTAAGATTACAATGTCAAATGCTAACATCTGCATTTTCATATTTGACTAATCCAACTGTACTTTATTTGTTCTGGAGCTTTACTTGGTCGTCCCCCTAGAAAGTGGAAACTAAGCTAATCTGCACGAAGCCTTGTCATACCTCAGGGATGTTTCCCTTCTCTTTCTCTTTTCCCACCACCTGACACCTCAGAGACTTCCAGACAGGCCACCTGGCTCTGGTCTTTCCTAACGTTAGTCTATCTTGCCTCAACTACTTAAAATATAACATCTATCTTCTTCAACAAAAATTGTGAAGCTTCTTAGTAACTGCTAGATCAAGAACACACTTCTAAGGTCAGTTTTAGCATTTCCATCTTAATCTTCCAATTCTTAGCAACCCGGGTTCTCTCTTCAATCTAGATGAATTAGGGTCTTTTCAAACTCTAGTCATTCAATGTCATTTCTGCCTTTGCTCAGCCATCTCGGCCTGGCCACACTCCACAGAGATGTCTTCTCTAGGCTCTTATTTGTCTAAATTCTATACAACTTCAAAGATGGGTTAAGCATCACAAAGACAATGAAGACTTCCTGATCGACTCTGCTCCATCTGTTCCTCCCAGACGTACCACGGTCCTTAATTAATTATTCTTACCTATATTGATGCCTGGGTTTCTCTCACGTAGTCCTCCAACTGTCTTCCTCAGCTCTTCGGGAGTGGGGACTGTGTTCATATACAACTTTTGCATCCCCCTCTGCTGCCCAGTACAGTGTTGGGCACTCAGCAAATAATCACTAAAATCTGAGATTTCATGAAAAGTGGCATAGTCTCAGATCTTACCTGAGACCACTCCATGGCGACCCACTTGGGGCAATCGAACAGGTTGCAAGTTTGCAGCACCTTGGGTTTGGGTGCGTACATGCACTTCCATTCTTCCACCTGCAGTATCTCGCCATGCATGGACTCCTCCACACACACGAAGCTCCGCCTCTGAATGCCGCCTCCACAGGACACAGAACACGCAGTCCAAGGATTATGTTCCCAGCTCAAAAGCAAACAAATAGCAACACATTATTTATTTGTTGTTTGTTTCCAATTTGCAAAGATGGTTGCAAAAAGTATGGCCTCGGGATAACAGTCGTGGTTCAGTTGAAAGAGCCCACGACATGGAATCTTAAGACTTTAATCTGAACTGCTACACAAAATCTGGAGTCACAGGTACTTACTCCTTTGACCCTAAGGTTATTGTCAAGTGGGAACAATACACCTGCCCTGGTTACCCTTGGTAGGACCATTGCGAGAATCAAATAAACTCAAATATAGAGAGTGAAAGCATCTGGACACACCCTCCAAATCATAAAATACTAATGGACAATATCACTAGAAAATCATAGAAATTCAAAGTCAGACAGGACCACACAAGTCATCTAGGTATACAAAAGGGGATTCAAATTTCCCATCAATTGCAAGGCTTGAGCTTCCTCTGTAACACCCAGTTATCCAAGACAAGCTTGATAGCTCCAGTGATGGGAAACATCGCCCTTTGAGGCAGCCTGTTCTAATTCATAGAAAGACCTTTCTTATGACTGAGTGGAAGTCTGTCTTCCCCTAGCTCTCTGTAAAGGTCTAGTAGCTATCCCTCTTACATTTTAGACTATTGCTAGAGATACTACAGCTCCTTGCAAACTACTTAGAGTAAATTACAAAATGGAAGTGGAAACGTGTAACTCACCGAGGGAGCGGTTGGAAGTGGTCATAGGGCATGATCTCTTTAAATCCATCGCTACAAATGAAATCATTGTGAGAATATCATTTCTAAATCAATTGACACGTTTATTAACTTGACTACTACAGATTTGACATCCCAAAAGACAGAGGGCTTTCAAATTGAAAACTAAATATGCAAAGTGTTATGAACTAGTCCCCCAAAATTCAGCCACGATCTCCTTAACTTTCAGGAACATCTCTGACACACACTTTCCCCAGTTCCTCATGAAAATATAGAAAATGGAACTAGTGGTATGTATTAATTAAAGAGTCTCTTTTAATTGAGATAAATCTATCTATTCCCTTTTCTCATCTAAAGAGGTTATCTGATAAAATATATTCATGATATTACCACACTGTCATATTAGTAGGATCCTCAGAAAACCATTTTATTTCACAGAATTTGTCCTTTGAAAAGGTCTCTATAAATAATTATGTCCACCTGGGATTACAGGAGATGCACAGTTGAGGGAGAAGAAATGAGATCCACCGAGAGTGGCTCCTTTTCCACTTGCACATTCTGCCTCAGCCAGCTGGCACATGTCTGGGGGATGCTGGGCCTTGATATCGTGCTGTTATTTTAAGATACTGTAGTAAAGCCAGGAAACTTCCCCAGGCAATCCAAGTCAGCAGGTACTAAATTATGCAGCAGGATATGCATAACTTTTTTGCTTTGGCATTATAACTTTTTACTTCCTTGCACAATGCATTATTTATACCGAGTTTAATGTGAACATTGCAAAAGTCAAAACATGGTAATGGATGACCCAATTCAAAGCTAAAACGGTGAGTGAAAGATATTTTTGACCGGCAGATGGAGCAGACACTGTACTCGGATGAAGAGAGCTTTCATATTGTAAAGGCAGGAGATGCTCAAAGAGGTTCATTATAAAGAGTTAAATATCACAGCACACAGACACATAGCCCAAGATAGAGAGCTAGACTGATGGAGCTGATGGGCCTAATTCCTATTGACCACGGTTACTAACGTGAGTGCAGGCACCTGCCACCAGTGTATGCTCAAAGACAGGCAATGGAGATGTGTCACCCTGCGAGGACTCATGAGTCTCAGCTGCAGTTGATTTGTTTCTTTCTAAAGGAAAAAGGGTATGGGCAACTATGCAAACCTGGACGGGCACGGATCCATGCTGCACTCCTTCAGTTTGGGTTTTGGTTTGACGTTTTCAGGGTAGTAGTGGCAATAATGGTCAGGGACCACCCTCTTCAAGCGGATATCCACACATTCAGCAGAATTGAGCTGATACCCTAGAGCAGCAGAAACGGAAAGTCTGAACATTGCACCCATTTCATTTTCACTTGGCAAAGTTACCACTTGCCACACGCTTTTCCCCCCCCTTTAAGAAACTTAACTCAATAATTCTCAACCCTGGCTGTAGAACAGAACCACCTGGGAGCTTTCAAGATGCACCAATGTCCGGGCCCTTTCATGGTCACTTAAGTCAGAAACACTGTGGCAGGGTCTAGGAAATCAGTACTTTTTTTTTTTTTTTTAAAGATTCTCGGCTTCTTCTAAGATGACTAAAATGTGTGGCCAAGATTGAGAAGGACTACTTGAATGGATTGTAGTGGTTGTAGCATTTATAACTACAGAGTTACAACAGCCACCTTTAAAAAATGTATGGAGCTTGCGTCCAGAAGGTTTATCATTCATTGTCACATCCCCTCACTGTCATCATGGCATTATGCAAGGTCCCTCTCTTGTTCCTCTGTATTTTTTCTTCTTCCCCATCACCACTCCGGCTCCAATGCCCCGAGCCACCTATTTATTGTTTATATGGCCTTAAATATACATCCATCTTACAGAATGTCGTCTTGTACCTGTTTTAACTAAATAAACAATATTGCATGTTAAATCTTATTCTGTTTTCTACTTTTCTCACTCAACATTACATTTTTGAGATCTACCGTGTGTGGGCTGTTGCTTCTTGCTGCTGCATAATACTCCACTGCTCCATAGACCGCACTTTACTCTTCTGCCATCTTGGGGTACCTGGGGTAGCTCTGATGCCAATAAACTTTCTAATCAGAGAATTAAGCACTGTCTACACAAGAAGGAACAAAATCTCTCCCCTTAGTCTCCCCCGGTCTCACAAGCCCTCCAAGGAGGAGGAATGAGACCCATTCTTGATTCTATCGAATTCAGTTTGTTCAGTCTCTGAGGAGAGTGAACATTCCGAACGGATGAGTGCTGTAAATTTAAAACACAACTCGCAAAACGATGCTTCCATTTCCTGAAAGATCTGATTCCAGGTTTCTTGTCACTACATACGTGTCATGTTAAGTTTTTTTTGTTTTGTGTTGTTTTTTTAAAAAAGGTAATTTTTCAAAACCAGAATAAGCTCTTCAGGAAAAAAAAAAGAAAAACCCTCGATTAGGTTCTCGGCCTCAGCCAATTGGTCTGAAAGTCTAAAAATACATTTAAAGGCCTGATTGCCGAGAGGAATCTGAGTTTATAAACCACTAGAGAGCTTGCTACGAGTCATGGGCTGGATGTAAGCTGAGCGCAGAAGGACAGACTGGTATGCATCACAAAAAGAAGGTCGAAACCACAAGAACGAAAATCCAAATGGAGTCCATAAAACGTTACTCGGGTGCCAACACCTGCCAGAAATCCACAACATCAGACGGCAGTGGCGATCTCGGTACTTTCTCCAGAATGATCTTAAGTGTCCCACATAGATGATTACTGACAAGACCAGGAAAGCCCATTCAAGTCCCTTAGAGACCAGTGAACTAATTTTCCTGATTATCGAAAAAACTCTGAAATGCCATTTACACAAATCATGTAGATTTGATTACTAATATAATTAAATTTTGGTAATGCTTTCCTTGTGGGTTTTATGGGTATATTTTTATTTCCCCACACACAAGAAAAGAATTTGCTTGCAGCTCCTTGAATTAAAAAAACAAAAATCTTTGTTCTAAATGGAAACATACTTCTGAAAGGAGCCAGAGAGCAAACAGGTGTTTATAATTTGAAGAGAGACAATTTTCCTCTTTAATTTTATGGCAGTACAGAGATAACTAGAAAGGAAAGAAATAAGGCAGATTGCCTTCCTATATTATGAGCAAATGTACAGAAATTCTACCAGTGTGCAGAAAATGGCAGGCTGCAGGCGGACCCCAAAAGCAGCTTGAACTTTCTCTTCTGTTTTTACAGCCACTGCTGTTTGGGTCAGACGGTCTCAGTGCCAGGTGCTCTCACGCCCACCTACAGTTCCAGCAGCACTGAGTGTGTCTTTCCCGGGGCACCCAAATATTCGAAACATCTATTCTCCTCCCAAGAATTTAACCAACTCAACTGAGCTGATTCCCGTGATAAATGTCCCTCCCAGAGTGGAAAGCTGCTCTTTATCTTACGTGTCCAAATGGGAATGACTCTCTGAATAACTGTGTGTGAGAGCAAGGTAATAAATTTAAAAGAAAGAGATGTTTGGTTTTTCTGCTGAGTAAGAATAAAGAGCCCCACTATCTCTTTTCTTTTATTTTGGGGTCCATGAGAGACTCTTGTCTTCCCTGGAGCCAGGGCCCGGCTGACTCTCAGGTGGTAGGATTCTGCTTCCGGATATAAGCTATCCATGTAAGGATCAATAGGTATGTCCCACTCACTTTGAGAGCTTTCCACCGTGACCACTGAGTAATGTATGTATCGCATAACTCATCCCCAGGGGACAGCAGGAGCGGGGACGGCGAAGGATCTGTAGATCATGCGAAGGCATTTGTGACAAAATTCAGGTTTAGATTCTGACATAACAGATGTTTCTTGAGTGCCCATTAATTGCCAGGCACTGTACTGTGCTCCTTGCCACATCACCTCTGAGTTTGTCCCCCAACGATGCTACAAGAGGGATCATCCGATGTTACAGATGAGAAGACTCAGGCTCAAAGACGTCTCAGAGCTAATTAGTGACAAAGCCAAGAAGTGAATCCAGACCTTGACCACCAGCTACTGCTTATTCCACTTCGCTACACTAATTTTGGATGTAAACTTTGGCACGCAACTTTTAAAGAACAGGATTGGCCAAAAAGTTTCTGGGGCCCGGGTCTAGAGAGACTTATTGAGTTTACCCAGATGATAGTCTCAATTCCAAACAGTGTTTTACCTCAATCGGCTTTAAGAGAAGTCAAATGTTTTTAAGAATTCCCCTTAGAGCCTGCTGGAAAGTCAGTGACTCAAAGCGCTGAAGGAGCTTCTCCTCAGAACAGCGCTTACAATGGTCAACAAAGTACATTCTCACTTTTAAGAGGAATCGAGAATAAACGGAGAGAACGTTAGAGCTGGCAGGGTCTGGAAGATTATCTACCCCACTGTTTTGTCTTCATTGGTATTTATTTTTGTGACTGTTCTATTTATGGCAAGAGATAACAGTTTCCCACTTAAGGTAGTAATATTAAATTCTTTTTGGAAATACGTGTATTTAAATTTTTTAAAAAGGTCCACTTAAAAAAAAAAACCCTTGAGCAAATGATCGTGCAGGGGTAACACAGGGCAAAAATAGTGAAGTTAACATGGCTACAGCTGATGTCCAGAGACATTGCTCTGGAGAGCCGTGGTTCTTATACTCAAGAGTGCACTGTTGTCTGCCGGAGGGCCTGGGAAACGGACGGCTGAGCCCCACTCCCAGAGTTTCTGATTCAGTAGGTCCAGGGTGGGGCCCAAGAATTTTCACCTCTAACAAGTTCCCGGGAGATGCTGATGCTGCTGGTCCAGGGAACCCACTTTGAGAACCACTGCCGTCGCATCATCATCAATGTTCTGTTGCCCACGCCGGGCTGAAGAAGAGCTAACTGGGAAACTGGGAAGATTCCCTTTTAACTTTCTTTTTAGGACCCACTTCAACCCTCAGACTCTTTCTCTTCCATTCCTGGGACATGAGATCTTTTTGAGGTCTGGGCTGTGCAGAGCTGCCTCCTGGTTTCATAAGGAGCCTAAATGCCAGAAGAGAGAGATCTGACTGGCGTGTTCACGGCAACCTGACGTTGGCTGAGGAGCCCTCCTTGATACACCTGTAGTTTAAAGGAGAGAGGCCAGAACCCCAGCTCAGTTTCTAGCTCTGGGCGTGAGCTGATCTTCTGTAGCCCTCGAAGGAAGAAATGGTTTGAGGCTGGGCTGAGTTGGGCTAGGCTGAAGGAGGAGGATTTATTGTACCTCTTCAAACAGAACCATACCTGAGCCTGTGTACGACCTAGTCCCAGGTGTGGCAGACGGGTCAGGGGAGACACAAGGCAAAGTGATTAAGAGCATGGCTCTGGCATCAGACAGACCTGGAGCCAGATTCTAGCTGTGCTGTTGACCAGCTGAGCAACCTTGAGCGCATTCTTCATCTTTTTAGGTTTCACTTTGCTCACATATGAAACAATCATGAAAACAAACCTTTCTTAGGGTTGTTTGGAAGAATAAACGAGATGATGAGCACCCTAGCACATGGCTTGACACATGATAAACGCCCAGTCCTGTTGCCTGGCACTCTTAGGGGGAGCATCAGCGTAAGTCCCTCTGGCAATTCTGGCAACTAGTTCCTGGGTTGGCACTAGTTTAGAACCATTTACTCTTTGATCTAAAGGTTCCATTTAGAAAAAGAGAATGGTCTTGGCAGTGGCTCTGATGCCCTCCTCGTCTGCTCTAAGGAGTCACTGCTTCCCCATGCTAAATAAACGGTGACCCCAACGCGGGCCTGCAAAGACATGTAGCCTGAGTGTGGAGCCCTGGATTGCACTCAGTCCAGACCCTCCTTCAACTTTCTGTAAACACCTGAACCAAGCAGTCAGGAAGCAGGACTTTCCCCTCACCACTTAGTAGGTGTGGTAATAATCTTCTACTAAGTTTATACCCCAGCCCTGAGTACAAGTGGAATATAGGGTGGAAATCTAAGCGTTAGAACCAACACATCCATTAACCTGATCAGACAGGGCAAATCACTTGTTCTCCCTCTTTCTCAGGTTTTCCGTAGAAAATTCCATAGAAAAATAATGCATGCTTTAAGGACCATCAAAACAAGAAATGCAAGAATGCATGCAAACACGTTTCCAGCTTTTTGCCAAAAGTAAAGGGTGCTTTCCGAAGCCAGTTTTTCACCTATTTTCAAGACTAAAGGCAAATGCACATTCACGAACTCCGCTGCATTCCAGGCTGCTGAGTAAGACGCTGGGTGATCACACATCTCCAATTACCACGCCAAGTTTAAAGTCAGCTTGGAAAACGCAAACGTGGAATATCTAACTCTGAGCTCTAAACATTCAAGAACGAAGTCTGTGCCTCACCTCCGCCACAGGTCACAGTGCAGGGGAAGAAGTCAGTTTGTCTCCACTGATGGCTGATGGGCTGGTAAAAGAAGAACTGGACCACGCTGTCCTTGGCCACAGTGTACCTGGTCTGGACAGAGAGAACTGTGATAACACATTTGCATACAATGAGCACCACACCTTTCAAAATGAGGCGACTACTTCACCTATGTAGACACCCACAAATCCATCACAATGAACTATGGTCTGTGAAGCTTCCAAGAATTTTAAGATGTGATAGCATTTCAATTAGATTTGTCATAAAAGGGGGCTCGGAAGACCTTTAACCAATCTCCCTAGAGTCATTTTCCCAGATAATTCCATACCTGGGAATGAGTTCACAAAAATGTAAGTGGACTTTCTTGTTTATTTGTTTAAAATTTTTTTCTTCCTGATGCATTTGATTTCAACTTCCATGAGAGCAGGGACCGAGACTTCATCTGGGTTTGCTTACAACATGGCATATAATTAGGATTCTTACATTTTTTAATAATAACATCTTTAAGCAGCTTTAAGGAGCTCCTTCTGATGAATCCTTCTGAGAGCACAACCACAGAAACTCAAACATTCTCAAATAGATGGGGTTTGCATCAGAGCACTCCAGGCCCCAACTGAAAGGGAGGAGGGGTCCCACTGAGAGTGAGGGAGCAGTTACGGACAGAGATAAGTCACTTTCACGTGACTGCACTCAAGCAGCAAGTTCTCGCCCTACATTTTTCTTTTCTTCCCTCCTGTTTGAACAAATGAGCCAAGAGAGGAAAAGTCCCAGGATGCCACACAGAGGAAAAAAGAGGGAAGACAAAAGGTGAGCTCACGGAGGAGAGATCCAGAAATGCCAGCATCCCATGGGGTTCAAGATAGAGACACAGAGAGAATAATGAAGAGGGACTATTTGGTGATATGATTGCTGAGAATTTCCTAACCTTGAGAAAGACAGGAGTGCTCAGTTTAAAAATATTCACCAAGTTCTGAGCAGAATTTAAAGAAACAAAACAAGGATAAAAACGAACCCTAAGAGTTATCAGAAAGAAAAAAATGATGACCTACAAAGGATTTCTCATAGGCAATATTAGATGCAAGGAAACAAACTCATACCTTCAGAGTGATGAGGGACAAGCGTGTCTTTATCGAGAAGTCTATAAACAAATTATTCATCACTAATCAATTATCAGTGGTCAATTTACAAACAATCTATGATCCAATTAGCAATCAGTAATCAGTGAAATAAAGATATTTTCAGACACAAAAATGACTGAAACTTTACCACTCAGAGATCCTCACCAGAAAAGAAAAAGAAAAAACTACTAAAGGATATACTGGACAGGAACTACTATAAATGCAGAAGAAAATAAGGAGATGCAAGAAGCAATAATGATGAAATAAATCAGTAAAGTGCACTGGAAAATCTAACCTAAGAGTTGACTGAGAAATGATAGCTTGATACATTTAATTGTAAAATGATGTAAAAATTCCAGCCGTGAGATATGTGTGGAGGGGCAGGATTCTGGTGATGCAGCGAGGGTACCACGGTGGTTACAGACACAGAAAACACTTCTAAGGAGTTTTGCTTCTGGCGATGGCAGAATAGCTTGTTTCTGATGAATCCTCCCAGCGAGAATAAGTAAAAGTTCTGCATAAAATATTTTTTAAAATGTATTTGAAGGCATCAGAAAACTGCCATAGTAGTGAGGATTTCCAGGGCCAAGATCCCAGACACAAAGGAAGCCTGGAAAGGTGAGCAGAACATTTGGCACCACCCTTCTGCTCGAGGCATTTTCCATTTTGCAAGTGGTGATTGAGCAGCTGAGAAGCTGAGCAGACCTGTCATCAGACTCCTGTGGCCGAGGGAGTAAAAACTGGAGCTCCAGGCCTGCCACGGTGAGGAGTGTCGGTAAACACCCCAGGCTCCCAGCTGGGACCCCAGAAAGCTCTCTCCTAGGAACCAGAATGAACTGGAAAAAGACCAGTTTTCAAAGGTAATGCAGCCCGGGTTCAAATTATTTCAATTCCATTTTGGATGAAGGTGATTGGCTGTTAACCTGTCTTCCAGAAGCAAAACTTAGTCCAGTCTCAAATTATATCTATAATCATTCATCTACTGTATACGGCAAAATGTAAAAATAACTCAGTATACAAAAAACAGCCACCAAAAAAGTGGAAAAATAGACATTATAAACAGAATTACAGGAAACCCAGATATTGGCATTAACAGACAGAAACAAAAATTTTTAGTATATTGCCACCAGTTCCTGCAGCCCTGACCTTGGCTTCACGTCTTGTTCCCTGCTTGGGGCCCTAACCACAGTTCATTTTATACCCACGGTCATAAAACATCAGTGTTAGCACATAGCTTCTGCCTCAAGCTCTCTTTTTTAGAGAACCTAGACTAAGATACCACAGCTAAAATGTTCAAGAAATTAAATAACAAGATGGAGAATTTCACTAGAAACTGAGAAGCTATAATAAAAATAAAATATAATTCTAGAAATAAAAAGCACCATAACTTAAACCAATATTTCAATGGATAGACTCAACAGTAAATTAGACTGGGGTTCAGCAAATATCTTCTTAAAGAACCAGATAGTAAATGTCATAGTTTTCAGACCATATTGTCTCAGTTTTAATTATTCAGCTCTACTTGTGTTTTGCAAAAGCAGCCACAGACAATATGGAAACAAATGAGGGTAGCTGTGTTCTAATAGAACTCCACTTACAGGCACACCTCGGAGATCTTGTGGGTTTGGTTCCAGACAACCACAATAAGGGAAATATTGCAATAACGTGAGTCACACAAATTTTTTGGTTTCCCGGTGCATGTAAAAGTTATGTTCATACTATACTGTGATCTATTAAGTGTGCAATAGCATTATGTCTAGAAAAAATGTACATACCTTAATTAAAAAATACTTTATTGCTAAAAAACCCTAACCATCATCTGAGCCTTCAGCAAGTCGTAATCTTTTTGCTGGTGGAGTGTTTTGTATAGAACACAATATCTGCAAAGCACAATAAAGCAAAGTGCAATAAATTGAGGTATGCCTGTACAAAAACAAGTAATGGGCTTGCTGGCCCTAATCTGCTGACTCCTGGATATACACAGCTGAACAGAGAATTAGTAAACTGACAGAAGAAAGTGGAAATTAGACATGTGGGATAAAGGTATAATTGTAATCCCAGGAAAAGAGAACACAGAGAATGGGATAGAAGCTATATCTGACGAGGTAATAAATGAGAATCTTCCAAAACTGATGATGGATATCAAGCCACAGATTTATAAAGCACCACGGACCTCAAGCAGAAGAAAGCCGCTAATTATGTCATAGTCAAATTGAGAAGACCAAAAACAAAGAGAAAACACTTAAAAGCAGACAAAGAAAAAAGACACATTACCTTCTAAGGAACAAAAATAAGACTGACAGCTGACTTCTCAACAGAATAAATGGAAGCCAGAAGACAACGGAGAGATATCTTCAAAGAGCTGAAAGGAAATAGTTTCATGACGATAAAAAGGTCAAGTCACTAGAAGAGGTCACGATTCAAAATGTGATGTACCTAACAACCTAGGCTCAAAATATAAAATTCAAAAATTGACATGAATAGAAAAAAGTTAGACAAATGCATAGTCATAGTGGCAGTTTTACCATCTCTCTGGTGGTAACTAAATAGAATAAGCAGAAAAAAATCAGTGAGGCTATAATTTTGAATAAAACCATTAATAAACATGACCTAATTGATATACATAGAACATTGTGTCCAACAACAGAAGACTACCCATCAGACTCTTCCAAAATTTGCTATATTCTGAGCCACAAATTAAGTTTAAAGAAATTTCAAAAGATTGAAATAGAGTATGTTTTTTGACTACATAGAATTAAGCTATAAAATAACAATGAGATAACTTGAACATTCCCACATACTTGGATGTTACACTTATAAATATTCCATAAGTCAAAGAATATATCATACGAAAATTATAATACAATTTAACTGAATGATGAAGGAAAAATATTTCATTTCAAAATTTGTGGAATGAAATATAAAGCATGCTTTGAGAGAAATTTGAATGACTTAAATGCATATGTTAATGAAAAAGAATAAAAATCAATGATCTAAACATCCATCTTAAAAAGTTAGAAAAAGAATGGCATATTGAATCCAGAGAAAGTAGAAGGACAGAAAAATAAAGATAAGAGCAGACATTAATAATATGCAAAGCAAACTACATTAAAGTGGGTTATAAAGCCAAAAGATGTTTCTGTGACAAGTCTAATGAACTCAACAGCCTTCCAACATGACTGATCAAGGAAGAAAGAAGGTGGGCCAAAAAACCAATATCAGAAATGAAAGAGGACTCACTGAAGATCCCCCACACAGTGAAGAAGTAGTAAGAGGGTATCAGGAAAAAATCTATGCCAGTAACTTTTAAAAAGTTAGTTGAAATAGACAAATTCCTTGAAACAAAACTGACATAAAAAGAAACAAAACATCTGAAGAGTTCTGTATCTTTTAAAGACACTGAATGCACAAGTCTAAAATTTTCCTGCTGTATATTTCCAAATGTTTAATGAAGAAATAACACCAAAACTTACATAAACTATTGCAGAGAATAAGAACAGAAATACTTCTCAACTCGTTTCATGAAGCCAGTATAAAATTAATGCCAAGACCTGACAAAGACCTTACAAGGGAAAAAAAAAAAAAACCTTCCCTGGAAATAGATACCAAAAAAAATCATAAATAAAATAATTTAAAATCATACCCAGTGGCATAAAATGATAATCCTTTTAATTAATAATAAAATAATAAATACTAATAATAAATTCTAATAAAAAGGATAAGGATCAAGTGAAATTTATTACAGGAAGGTAAGATTGGTTTAACATTCGAAAATCAATGTAATTCATATATTAAAAGGGAAAATGGAAAAAAAATATGATCACTTCAAAAGTTGCAGGCAAAGCATTTGATAAAATTCCCCACATATATGATAACAAAGAAAAGTAGGAAAAGATTTCTTTCACCAGACAAATTGTCTACAAAAATTTCTAAAGCAAACACCATACACGACGGGGGAATTATAGAGATCTTTGT